ACAGAAAAAGAAGAAAGATCTTTCTTACAGCTAAACACCAATGAACTCCAAGATGAACTGGAACTAGTAAAATATCCGCAGAAAATACATCAACTTTTTTTGTCCACCGCTTCAGAGCTTGAAACCCAGCAGATTTTAGTTTTGGAAAAAAGAATGTGTTGAAAGCATGGACTTTAGGCAAACCTTTTCGTTTACTTCTTTCCATTAAAAGGTTCATAAAGAAATTTATGATCTGCATTACAAAAAAAAAAAAGATTACTTTTACAATTTTATTTACATGTTATCAAAATATTTTTTTGTGCCAAATTTGTATATGGTTGGTGTAGGAGTACAGGAAATAATAATTCACAAATTATAAAAGCAAAACTCAATTATATTTTGCAATATAACAAAACACTTTCAATTGTATATTAAGCAGGTCAAAAAGGAGCAAATAACTGGACTTATTTGTTACGTTTACACTTATCAAAAGGTCTGGATCACTTTTAAAGGACAAAATGTTTAAGCCGTGAATGTCACAATCACAGGTGATTAATAATTACCTTTAAAAACACACATGGGACAGGAAGATACTCCGGAAGTGAATGTTTAATGTAACATTCACTACTTTATAAATATCCCCCTTAAGGTTTCATACACCTGCCGCGATAATCGGCAGGTGTATGGGCAGCGTGCAACCTCTTCTACTGTAAGGTCACACGACATTAGTCTTCCAAGCATGCTTGAAAACCTGCTGAAAATCGTACGATCTTCGGCAGGTTAGTGGCGTGCTCGGGAGACGAGTGCCACACGGGCCAGTGTGCGCAAGAGCACACTGCCCGCTCAGCACTGCAATCATCGGAAGCCCTCCCCAAGATGGGCAGATCGTACAAAATTTTAATCACCTTACAACCATCGCACAACGAAAGGGTGTGTGTGTGGTAGTAGCCATGGTGTCTCTAGCCTAATTTCAGAAAACTTACCTCATCATTTAGCCAGTTTAAGCTATGAAGCGTCATGATATCTTTACGAGTAATTGTTAAGCGGAAACCTTCACTTATCACTTGATCTAGACTTCCACCAAATAGGGCACACTTAATTTCCCTTTCCATCTCCTTAAAAAAACAGAAGAGGGGAGTAAAATGGTGTTAAAGTGGTTATTTAAAATAAACATAGAATAAAGAAAGGACACACTGAATGATTCTTCAAAAAAAATAGCAATTTTTGGGGGCCTATTTGCAACAGTGCAAATAGGCCCAAAATATAACACTTAACTACTCGTATCTATGCATGTATAATATGAAAAAGCTGCAATAAAATAGGTATTCTAATAAAAAACAAAATCTTTAAGTTTGCAAAGGGTCTCAGTAAAAAAACAAAAAAGTAGTATTCAGCAAAAATTGATGCTGCATAGAAAACTCTCCACGTCTACAGGGGGTCTCAGAGCATCCTAGAGATTCATTCAATGTTTTGCAGTTGAATCTAAGTGCCAATTATGCACTTGAGATATTGCACATAAACAAAGGAGGTTGGGTATACGACTACAGGTGTGGAGGGATGTGCACAAGGTGAGTATGTAACCACGGGCCCCAAGAATGGGGAGGGGGAGAGGAGGGAGGTGTGTGGATATTGGGTGAATGGTTGCTGCATGGAACACCTGAGATGAATTGGTTGGGGCTTAGACTGCGGTCAATAGATGATCGCTCGAAAAGTCTCCAGTCAAAGAAAGGGAGAATGAATAGAATTGTTCCAGGTGGATGTTTGTTCTCTTTTTCTGTGTAACCTATGTAAGTTTTAGTGTATTTTTTTATAAGAACATTAAAGAATATACAAAACAAAATCACAGCTTTTAAATCAATTTGGCATGCTGGTGCAAGGTGTTCAGGAAATAGGACACTGGCCTAACTTAACTATACTGTTAAAAGTTGAACTAAGAGCATGGCTTTTTGAAGCACATAATCTAACAGCAGTAAGTTACCTGTGTAAGCTCTGGGAATTCTGGCTCCTCGTGGACACTCACTGGTGGTTTTGGAAGTAACGTAACAGGGATTTCTTTTTCAAGAGGTACGCGCAGTTTCAAATTGATATGGTCTTTTACAGGACATTCCTGCAGCCTCTAAGCATTTTTAAGACACAATTAATAAATAAAAAAAATTGATTAAACATATGTAGAAAACATATTTATTTAAAGACCAGAAGTTATTAGACAAGAATGAGATCAGAAATAAAATAAATAATTGCATACTGGCTACCAAATCTCAGCATTAGAACTCCAAAGTATCTATCTATAAAAAGGAGATTTCAGTATGATTTTATGACCGTGTTACTTGCTGTAATTTTATCCAGCTTGTGTAGTGTGAAGTATGTCCCTACTTTTGGCTGAGGAATTCCTATTGTATTGCCACCATGGCACTGTGGGCTTGTTAGAAGTGAAAGCATACCCTCATAAGCTTGAACAGAGAAAAGACAAAAAGCAGCTAGGGAGGAGTGAATCAATTTGTGAGAATCACTCTCTGGTCCATCTCAACTGGGGTGTATGGCAATACAACAACACATTTCAAGTTAACCTGGTAAAATGGATAAAACAACCATTTAGAACCTCTATCGCCTATGATGTCACTGCCTTAATAACGTTCCTTCTATACATGGTTATTAGGTTAGCACCTATTAAAAAAAAAAAAAAAAAAGGAGAATATAGCGTCCTTATATAGTGCTTGCCTCAAAACATACCTGAATGTAAATTATAGCAGGACAGATTTGCATAGAGTTAAAGGCAATGTCAAGTTTAAAAAACAAACAAAAAAACACGTTCTATCCCTGCATGCTCAGATTTATTTTTTTCTTATATCCCCTCTATTTACCCCAAAATCTTTTTGCAAGTGATGCTTGTGTAAACTTTAAGTTAGAGTAAAGATGACTAAACATTGTGGGGTGGAATGATGAATCAGTGGTTTCTTTCGTCAAAAATCTCTGCAAGAACACAGCAAATGCGAAACAGGAAGTTACTTCAGTCGTTCGTCAAAAATTGGTTGGTTAGTATGGCTAACAATTTCCGAAATTGACATTTGGTTATGCTTGATGGGGTATGTGAACTATAAATCGTACGGGGGTTCGTGGCAGAAATAAAAATTTCCGACCGAAACTCTATTCGTGTATAGCCACCTTAAGGCCTCATTCACACGAGAAAAGGCCAGCACGTACAGCTCCATGCATGGCGGTATCGGGCAGCTCCTGGGATGGACAGGTGTTGCGTGCGATTAGTACGCAGTCCCGGTCATTCTCTATGGGAGTAAGCGGCTATACGCCGCCCTACGCTCTCCCCAAGTGCAGGTCTGTGCCGGTGTCCCGGCTTGGATGCAGACAGGATCCATCCTGTCAGCGTACAAGTATGGACGTGCAGGGCGGGTGAGCGTAGGGCGGCGTACTCCCATAGAGAAGGACAGGGGCTGCGTACTAATCACACGCAGCACCTGTCCTTCCTGGGAGCTGCCGCATATGGGCGTGCATGCAGCTGTACGTGACAGCTTTTTTCTCTTGTGAATGAGGCCTAAGGCAGCACACACAAATAACACAGTAGTGATGTGCATGCACAATCAGCGCTGGCAGACGTTGCTGATGGTTACACCTGCTATAGTCCAGCGTACTGCAGGGGGCGGAGCCGTTACTGTCTAAGTGCTGACATCCAAGTTGAATAAGGCATCAATCCTAAGTGAGGCAGCTGCTACTGAACTTTCTGCAGGGTCCAGGGTAAATGAGTACTGCAACAAAAGCTGAATTTTTTTGTAGCTCGAGTTAAGCTATATATTTTAAAATGTATACATGGCCATTAGCATTGCACCGATACTAGTATAGAGACAGAGTATTTGGGCGGGTAGTCATACTCACCCAAATGCTGCCAATACTCATCCCGATACCAGGACTTCCAGAACCAGGAAGCTGGGGGAGAGGTAAATAGTCAACCCCCGGCTTCCTGATTAGCTGGGAAGCCTGCTCCATGCTCCCTCATCACCATGTGTAATGACTGGCCAATCAGGAAGCCGGGTGGTGAGCCATTACATGCCCCTGGCTTCCTGTTTGGCCAGAAAGCCAGCTCCATGCTTCTTTGTCACCTGGTGATGAGGGAGCATGGAGCCAGTCTCTAGGCTAATCAGGAAGCCGGGTGGCGACTCATTACATGTCGCCCGGCTTCCATAATGGGACTTCCGGTATCGGCGAGTACAGAAAAAAAAATATCTGTACTCGATACTGGGAGAAAGAAAAAAACAAACGATATCAGTGGATCCCTAACAGATATACAGATACATGCCAGAACTTTCTTATTAATGTCACCTGATTTTGAAGTTTTAATGCAATTGCTTTCTGCTCTTCTATTAGTCGCCGTCTTTCTCTTGCCCTTGAATCAAATACGCTGGTGCTGTAAATAAAGAAAGCAACCCACATCAGATCTGTACGTACACATACACACTTTACCTATAAAACTTGTCTAATAATCTGTAGAGATACACGCATATATAGATGCTTACATTTCTTTAATCCAGTGCTCTGCCTTCAAAAAAGGTCGGCTAATAAAAAATAAAAGAAAGTGCATTAGACAAAAATGACATTTGGTTTTGCAATCTAATTAAAGATAAATAGCATTAACTTGCTTTGGTTTCATTAATGGTTTATACAGAATGGGACAAAATGTCAGTCAATTAAATGTGGACAATTACCATTAAAATAGATATCTACCTATCTATAGATATCTATCTATATATACACACACTTGACCAAAGCATTCCGCCAACTCAGCCTGTCCCCGCTAGTCATACAGTTTAGCAGAAAATTGTTATACATCTCCACTGCAGCGGTCTAAGGTCCAGTAAATCATGATGACTATACACAGTGTATAGACGTGAGGACACTAAGGAAGACTCCAATGCTGCTGCATTGGAGGGAGTGTGGTCACAGCTGGCCAGCTCGGAGCTTTGGGCGAGTATAAATTATTTTAGAATCTAGACAAAAAGGAGTACTTAACTCTTGCAGTGGGGCTACCCTAGCACTGCAAGGATTAGGAAACCCGTTTTCCTGGAGTATTTCTCTGCTATACTTTGGAAAACAAATAAAACCACCACCAAGCTTGAAGTATTTGCATCCTTTGAGATGCAAGTTACCTGTGATATTCTTCATCTTTGCAAACTGAATCAATCACAATGACTGAGTCTTCATCTGGTCATAAAAAGAGAAATCATGTTAACATAAAACTAAAAAGAATGAATAATAGCATCAGTAAAAACACCAGATTCCATTTTATGTCACCCAGGTAAAATGGTATACACTAGTTTAGTCCCCAAGACACAGGTGACGTTCGACTAGCTTGCAGTTCTCCATATACTCTATAAACTGGCCTATTTAAAACATAGGCGATAACATCACACTTCCATACTTATTGACAATTTCAAGTCAATAATTTGACTATTGACAAAGTAAAGGGCACTGAAGCTACTATCTATACATCTGTATAAAACTGCTGCTTTTGTTTGCTGGTTTTTCCAAACGTTGGCCCTCTTTTCCTCTCATATTCCAAAGCCCCTTTACCTTTTTCTAATCTACTAGTCTAATACTCTACTTATAGTGACTTCAAAAATAGATTTGCTGGTTTTCTGACTGCATTTGCCCACCTTTTGAAGTTTCTTTTTCAATTAGGCCCCTATAGCATTAAGCATGTTGCACTATTGTGCCAAACAAAAATATGCCATTCACTAAAGTATATTTTTCTAACCTTCACTCTGCCCTTGGCTGGTATGACTCCGCTGTCCATGTAGCTGGTGCCTACTCAAGTCTCTGTTTTCACAGGTAGGTTTAAAATTTGTGGTATCACTTAACAGTGGTATGCATATCTGATCTGGTGGAGTTGAACTAAACAATGGCTGGCATAAAGTTTCCACATCCAAAGAAGGCTCTAAAGAGCTCACACTAGACGTGACAGGTGGAAAAGAAACACTGCTAGAACTTAAACACCGAGATCTGTAATAGACAAAACATACTCATTAGTGTAATTTCCACAGAAGCACAGTCTCTTCAACTGAGAGATGCAAGCAAAGTGAATACTCACACACAGTTACTTACACTTGGGAGGGGAGAAAAGATGTTGGCTTTGAAGAGAAAAAACTTCTTCCCGTCACTGCTTGCAGTAACTGTCGATAGAGTTCTTTCTCTTCTTCCCGTACAGTCTGTGAATAAGTTAAAGAGAAAGGTTATTAAGAGACAGGATTCCTACTGCTAATTTACCTACATGAGAGTGCAAAGGCTCATCAACACTAACAGGATTCAGCCCTATACATGGGCCTTAATCATTACAATTAAAAACTAGTACAAATCTTAAAATGGAGCAATCATCAGTAACATGTAAAAAAGACATGTTCCCTACATGCACGTCCCCGAAATGCTTAGAAGCTTTCGTATGCACCTTGCAATATCTACATGTATTGTAGCCAGCTACAATACATGTAGATATTGCAAGATATGTATGCAAGCCCGACCGATTACATCTACTGTGACAGGGAAACAATTTCCAATCAAACAGTAAATTACCTTTAACATCCGAAATATAGTGCATGTTATCATATGTACAGCATGTAAAGTTCAGTATCTTGGATGCACAATAAGGCCCTTGAGAGTTTGTATATGGGACTATTTTTGTGACAGCATGAATAAGAACATGCTCGGTCCCTCTAATGCTTCTAAGCATTTCAGGGATGTGCATGCTGTGAACATGTCGTCTTTTACATTTAAGGGTGTTAAACGTGTCCAGGTGCATGATAGGAGGTGGTGACCTCCGCTGTAAATGATTCGAATGGGAAATAAGGTGGATTTCGAAGTTACGGCACAGATCCCCCAGGGTCTTAATTGGGATTGGGATGTAAGCTTATATCGCAAATAACTGCTAAATGTATTATTCTTTCGATTAATTTTGTTTCCTGAACAATTGAATGTTTCTCATACAAAAGCTTTGTTTGTGAACAGGAGTGCCCCTTTTAAAAGCCATTTTTAGTTGCAGACTAGATGTTTCTTGCGCCCTCTTTTTTTTTTATAGGATACATGATACATTTTATCCTTTTACCAACTGATTCATTAGTTGCATATTGATATATATTATCCCTTGCCATTTTAGAATTTATTTACTTACATTTTTTGTCATTACCTAGAGATGCAGGGGTTCATTTGTATTTCAGATCCTTTGATCGGGGCGTGGGAATGGGTGTTACTGATGATTGCTCTAGTTAAAGATTTCCACTGCTTGTTTTTAAATGCTATGATTAAGGCCCATGTAAAGGGCTGAAACATGTTAGCTTTTTTTGTTTGTGGTTTTTAATGCCTTAAGTAATAACGCCTGTAATAAGAGTGGATCCTCTGTGTGCCAGTTTTCTACAAAGCACTTCATAGGGTCAGGCAGAGACAGTTCCAACCAGATTACTGGTATAGGAAGTTGAGCAGCTTTGATTTGTTCGTTTTCTCTTCCTGTATGTCCAGGGAAGAGAAAAAAGCCTTTAACAAAATTATCACCATCTCCCAAGTGCCACTTCAATTTAGAAGCCCTGGAAGCACATTCCACTTGCAGATGCTCATCTGAAGAAGAGTCAGGTCAGGAACCTGGCTCTTTTGAGATCAATTTCAGATTCTGCCACTGGAATCACCTTGCTTGCTGCTGAAGCAGCAGGAACAGCTGCAATGGCTTGCAAAATGAGAAGGAAGGTTGAGGCCAGCCAAAAGCGGACTCAAGGATTGTAAGGTAGAAAATAACTGTTCCTAAACCAGTCAGTCACAAATGTCACCTGTCAGCATGACCGGACTATAGCCTTGCAATTTATGTTAACATTTTTTGGGGACAGATAGAGCTTTCTTTTGGTAGTATATAAAATCACTACAGGGGGGGGTTATTTTTTTACTATATAATAAAAAAAAAGTACAGTAAATTTAAAAAAAAAAAAGAGTTTCCCAAACATCTATTCTTACCCATATTTTTTCTTAAACATAAAAGACGGGGTCACATCGGCTAAATAGACACCAAACATGTCAAGCCTTAAAATTGAGTGCGCCTGCAAAATCGCAAAAAACTACCACACTGAAAATTGGTCATAGGCGAGGCTTAAAACGCTTTTACCGCTCATCAGTTTAGTGTTATCAGTAATTAATGGCCTTAAAATTATAGCTCACACTCCGACGTTCGCTGTTATATGTAACATGTGCGGCACAATAGGCGCAATCGTTTTGCGCATCTGCATGTGGGGGGCGGAGGACCCCCACATGCAGAAATTGCAATATTTTTTAATGCTTATTTTTTTTTATGATTCTTTAATTTTTGTATTACTTTTTTTTTTTTTTTTTTTTTTTACACAACTTTATTGCTATCACATTAGGAGAGGCCAAGAAGCCCATGACAGGTCCTCTTTAAAAAAAATCACATCAGGGGTCGCCAAGACCCCTGTCACCTAGGGACCCCCAGAGAAGCTGATGAAGCAGAGATCTGCTTCATCAGCTTCTGTAGCTGGAAAGTGACACTGAATGCAATGTAATAGACATCACTTCCTGCATTCCGGGACTGGAGAGTAGATCAAAGATAGATCGTGTAATGACCTCCATTTTATCTCCTGTCACAGAGGATCTCGGGACCGGCAACAGCAGTGACAGCTGCTGGTAATACAAGCGATCGGGCGTCTCGAGATGCTCGATCGCTTGAATGTAAAGCTCCCGGCCGGCCGTGTAATTACAACGGGCGGGAAGCTGCACGTCGGGCTCCGCCGTCCTCTCGTCACAGACGAGCGGACGTATGTATGTATGTAAAAAGGTAGTTATGCACACACGAGTAGAAAACAAAATATTCACTTACTTCTTCTACGGTACTAAGTTGTCGTCTTTGCATCTTTTTTGGGCTACAACGGCTAGCTGTACTCCATGGGGTTGAACATGTGGCATTCTTAATAGGAAAGGACTTCTCAAAGGCTGAACTGAACGTGTGATTTGGCTTTCCACTACACAAAAAAGGACAAAAATAAATAAAATTGCAAGCTTATACCCTGGGTGGAAAAGCATAAAGTAATCCATTGTGCTTATTATTTCACTGCTTGTAAAAGGTTTAAAGTGCAAGCCCAGTTTCTCACCAAATGGGAGGGGAAAAAAAATTACCCCCCACAAATCTGTACCCTCTTCCCCTCCCCCACTGGCCTTACCTTTGTTTAAAGCACGGTCCCCTTCCCCCGCCGCAGCTGGTGTACCGTCTATACACACAAGTGAGCATTTTGAATTACGCTCGCAAAGGCGAGCACTCATAGCTAGGAAATGCTTCTCATTGGCAAGTGTGGTCAGGTGACCGTGCTGACCAATAAGCATTCGCCATTTGCAAGTGCAATTGAAAATGCTCACTGCAGTGCTGAGGTTTTGTGCACGGTGTATGGGCAGTACACCGGCTGCCGCGGGGGGAGGGGGCTTCGAAGTAAAGACTAGCAGGCACAGATTTGTGGGGGTAATTTCAGTTTCCACATTTGGTGAGAAACTAGAATTACCCTTTAACAACCTAAGCAACTGCGCTTCAGTTGACAGTATGTTTAACCGGAAAATACACAAACACATCCTTTAAAAGTGACTGAAATAATATGATAAATCGCTTCAAGTGACATTAACTCAGGAGTTAAATCTAAAAAAAAAACCAAAAACATTCAAGTACCCAAACTATCAACAATAATGTATCTTATTTGTGTATCACTCGGCTGTAGATCCTCAAATCATCTCTGAATTGGTGCCGACACTGTCCTTTAGGGATGCACAGATACCGATACTAGTATCGGTGGCAATACCGAGTATTTGCTATACTTAACCCCGATAAGGAACTTCCAGTCAGAGGGAGATTTCCACTGACTAACAGTGATGCAAAGAAACATGGAGCTGGCTTCTCGGCCCATTGGGAAGCGGGGCGGCCAGTAATGACTCGCCACCGCTGGCTTCCTGATTGGCCGAGAAGCTGACTCCATGCTGTTTCGCCGGCTTAATGCTAATTGGCCAGGAATCCGGCTGCCCGGCCAATCAGTATCAAGCCGGCCAAACAGCTTGGAGCCGGCTTGTGGTGAAGATTAGAGAAAAAGTAAAGGGAATTTTGTAATACCTTATTTTACTGAAAGACACTGGTGGCCCCTGCACTCCTCTAAAAGACAGCTTTACATTAAGATGAGTAACATCAATTTAATGTTCAGAACCCAACATCTCCCAAAGGATGCAAATCTTAAAGCTGAACTTAAAGATAAACAAATAGACTAAATACACAAGACATGTGTAATTGAACTTAAATCATGTTGTGCTTTGTGTATTTTTTCCATTCAGATTTCTGCAGTAATCAAGTTTGAAATACTTCCTTTGGCCAGGAGCTTCCTGTAATCAAGGGCACCCCCGCCCCCCTCAGGCTATGTGAAGCAAAAGGGAGGTCACTGCTACATTTACAAGGTAATAACTAGGTTTGCAAAGTCATATGGTGCCCAGAATTGGGCATTAAATGATATGTATGGCATGAGAAAATATTTTTCAATGGCAAATAAGGCGTCAGATAATACATACCTTAATGTTCGGGTTTCTGTATGGGCTATCTGTGCTGGTCTTTGCTTTTGAGAGAACGCAAACTGTGCTGGGAATATAGAAGAATGTCCATTGCCATTCTGTTTAGCTCGAAGGAAATCAACGAACGGAGCAGATGTTGTATTAACAGACATTGCTTTCGTCTCTGTCTTTAATGTTTCTAAGGGTTAATAAAACAAATAAGCTTATATTACATTAGGAGAATGCTATATGAAAATGTTTTCCTATTAATAATTTCCTATTATTAAGGATGATTACCAAAGAATTGTATCGAACGAATAAGCACACTTGAACTGAGCCTGACAAGAATTCATATTCTGCAGATCTCACTCCTGGTATCCCAAATACAGGCTGTATTAATCACCCCCACTTATCTCTAGGTCAGGATTATTATAATCTAACATGCTTTTGTTTAAAAATATATGAAAAAACTGTTTTGGCAAAGGACTAAAAGATCCTGCAGTTTCTTCTAATTCATAACATACTGTATATCAGCATAGCAAATCCACACCATGAAAAACAAAGAAAAAGTATTTTACCTGAATGGAAGAGGGGTTTATGAAGGGACTTTATGATAGGTCTTTCAAATCGTCTAGGAAGCACAGGAGTGCACTAGAAAAGAACAGAAGCCTTTTAAGAAAAAACTACATATGTGTTTTTTAAGAGAGTATACGTGACAAAAGGCCTAGGATTAGTATCAATGCCTTATAAAGCAGGTATACAAGCATGAATGTAACAGTACTGAAGCAGCAGCCTGCTATTTGGCACTCAAACTGGCTAACTCCAGTATATTGAGATGTATTAAAATACCATTTACCAATGATACAGAAGTTTACATACATTATATATACACACACACATATACAGGTGAAACTCGAATAATTAGAATATCGTGCAAAGTTCATTTATTTCACTAATGCAACTTAAAAGGTGAACTAATATATGAAATAGACTCATTACATGCAAAGCAAGATAATTCAAGCCGTGATTTGTCATAATTGTGATGATTATGGCTTACAGCTCATGAAAACCCCAAGAACCCCAAATCCACAACCTCAAAAAAGTAGATTACATGCAATCAATAAAACAAGGATTGTACATAGAACAATATCGGACCTCTGAAAAGTACAAGCATGCATATGTACTCAGTACTTGGTTTGGGCCCCTTTTGCAGCACTTACTGCAATTACTTTTGCACGATATTCTAATTATTCGAGTTTCACCTGTACATACATACATCCATCAATGTCCATTGATGTCAATGGAAAGGCATGTGGGTTAAAATGCATGCGTTTAAATGTGTCCATAGCTGCTAAAAGGGTAGCACTTGTACCTTGCAGCTATGGTTTCAGGGTATAAATCTTACCAAAGGCAGAGACATTAGCTTAGGAGAACCTCTAAAGGACAAGGACTCATGTGAAGGAATCTCTATATCCTTTCAAGTATTGTAATATTTTGGTCCCACATACATTTTGGGGAAAACAAAATGAAAACATGCAAACCTCATAGTTGTATGTAGAGAAAGAATCTTGTGCGGAGTCTTTAAAATGTGCTGTACACTTAGAATTGTATTCACTCTCCCAGACCATTTCTTTCATTTCTTCATCTATAGAGGAAAAAAAAAAATCACACATGGCAAATTTAAAATGTGGCATATCTTTGAACAAAACCAATTTTAATGATTCTACAAGCAGATTTAAAACCAAAACTGTTTTTTTTTTAATATACTGAAGTTCTGTAGCGTTGCGAACCAAGGTTTTTTCGGCCACCATGGTGCAATAAGGATGAGGGTTACTCGCTCCTGTGCCAGTTTCGACAAGACTTTCGGGATCAGCCTGACAGGGGGGAAAAGCATGAGCTAGAGGAAAAGTCCAGGGGTGGACAAAGGCGTCCACGCCCAGGGCACCATCGCCTGGGCACAGGGAGAAGAATTTGTTCACCTTCCTGTTCTCCCTGGAGGCGAAGAGGTCTACCACCGGACCCCCCATAATTCTGCCAGTGAGCGAAAAATCTGTTCGTTCAGTGACCATTCTGATTGAAGAATCTGTCGCCTCCTGAGGAAGTCGGCTAGAGAATTCAAAGTTCCCTTGAGGTGGACTGCCGTGAGGGACAGAAGGTTGTCCTCCGCCCATAGTAGAATACTCTCCGCTAGGGCCTGCAGGGCTCGGGATCTCGTGCCTCCCTGCCTGTTTATGTAGGCAACTGCTGTGGAATTGTCCGATAGGACCGACACATGGGAGCCCCGCAATGCCCCTACGAAGTGCAGCAGAGCAAGTTCGACCGCTTCGAGCTCTCTCAAGTTCGAGAATTTTGGACTCCAAGAGTGGCTCCACATTCCCTGGGTCAAGTCCTCTTGGCAGTGGGCACCCCAACCCCAGGAACTGGCGTCTGTGGTGAGTCACCTGCTTTGGTACACTCCACAGCCTGCCTGCGGACAAGTTCCTCGGTTCCAGCCACCAGTTGAGGGATGCCTTTACAGGCCCTGGAATCTGGACTTGTTTGTCCAGTTCTTCCCGCTCCCCACCCCACTGTTGTGGGAGGAATGACTGGAGCATCCTTGAGTGAAGCTTGGCCCAAGTGACTGCAGGAATTGCCAAGGTCATTAGGCCCAGCAGGCGCATTATATCCCTGAGGGATACCACTTGCGAAAGATACAGCGAGAGGGTTTGCTGCGCAATCTTCCCCGTTTCTCCTCCAGGAGGAACAGGCGGGATAGAGAGGTATCTATTTGGAACCCAAGGTAGGTAAGGAAGCGGGAGGGTTGCATTTGGGATTTTTCCAGATTGATTAACCAACCCAGCTTTTGTAAGTGGATGGTGGCTAGGCTCAGGTTCTTTTGCAAGGTTTCCTGAGTGGCTGAAGAAAAGCAGGTCGTCTAAGTACGGGATGACCTCTATCCCCAGATGTCTCAGAGGCACCGGCGCGTCTGCCAGAACCTTTGTGAAAATTCTGGGTGCCGATGAGAGGCCAAAAGGGAGTGCCCTGTACTGGTAGTGTGCGACTCCTTGGGGGCATAGGATAGCGAAACTTAGGAGCTTTTGCGATTGGTCTCTGATTGGGATATGGAGGTAAGCTTCCCTTAAATCTACCGTTGCTAAAAAGACCATCGGTGATAGAAGGTTCCTTACCGAGTAGATCGATTCCATTCGGAATCGTTTGTATCGTACCACTTTGTTCAGTGGCTTTAGGTTGAGAATCAACCCGACCTTCCCAGACGTTTTTTTTCCTCAGAAAAAGGTGGGAATAACACCCTCTTCCCTGTTCGTCCCTTGGCACTGGGCAGATAACCTTCTGATCTAGCAGGTTCTGTAATGCCATGACCATGGTCTGGGCTTTCTCTGGGTTCCTGGAAAGGTGCGTAATTGATAGCTCGATTCTGTAACCGCATTGCAGCAGGATCAGAATGAAACCATTGGTTGTTATCTCCTGCCACCGAGGGAGGAATCCCCTGAGCCTTCCCCCCACCAGGGCTGGGCCATCATTGAGGTTTAGTTTGGGCGGGGGGAAAACGAAACCCGCCTTTCCCTTTCTTGAAGGCCCATTTCTTACCTTGGTCACTTTGTTCCCCCTCTTATGAGGCTGGGAACGTTGACCTGCCGGTTCACTTCTATTCCCATACCGCTATGAGAGGGACCTTTCAATGCCCCTAGCTGGGAATTGCCAATTCGAGTACCTCAGGTCCCGCCTGTCGCCGTTCAGTCGTGGAGAGGGCAGCTTGGAGCCGACACAACTGGAGGATGGTTGCCCTCTTAGAAGAGGGAAACCTACAGGACAGGTTCACCCAAGTGGGTAGGACAGGGTGGGGGCTGTCCTGGGAAGGAAACTGCTCCGGTATCCCGAGACCGCTGGCCCCCAGGAAGGGGATACCTGACGCAGTAGGCCCCTGCCACGTGCACGCAGGCCTATGAAAAACAAGAACATTTCCCAATGCACCTGTTTAGGCCAAGGAAACACAAATAACTGAGGCATGCCAGTACTAGGCGCCTTTTTATTTGGTGTATGATGCGTTTCCTGTTTCAGGTGGGAGGAGACTATCTCTCAGATGCTGTCCCGGAAGATTACTTGGGAAAAAAAGGGAAACAATTCTGACAGGCAGGTGGAAGCATTTATGACAGATGTCCCATCAAGCGGTCTATAAATAGAAAAAATTGCTGGACGAATATCTGCGGACATTCCTTATAGGTAGGGCTGCACCAAACGGTTTATTTTCAAAATCGATTAGTTAGCCGATTATTACGTTCGGTTAATCGGATAAAAAAAAAAAGAAAATGCAATAATTCATTACACAGCACAATACAGAACACCACCAGCTATAGAGGAATACAACAAATCCCAGCAACAGTACATTATACAGCACAATGCAGAATACCACCAGCTATAGGAAGAATACAACAAATCCCAGCAATAGTACATTAAAGCTGGCGGTATTCTGCATTGCGCTGTATAATGTATTCTTACTGAGATTTGTTGTATTCCTCTATAGCTGGTGGTATTCTGCGTGCATTGCGCCACTGTATAATGTATTCTTACTGGGATTTGTTGTATTCCTCTATAGCTGGTGGTATTCTGCATTGCACTGTATAACCATTATACAGCACAATGCAGAATACCACCAGCTATAGAGTAATACAACAAATCCCAGCAATACAATATAAATACAGTGTATATTATATTGTTGGGATTTGTATTTCTCTACAGCTGACGGTACATATACAGTGCAATGTACCATCAGCTATCGAGGAATACAACAGTTCCCACTATCCCAGCAAAACATTAAAATAATCCAATCGCTGTGTGTTGGGGCAGGGGGGTTCGGTCGCAGGCACTCTTACTTTTAGATGCGGGATTGTAGGCCTGTCAGGTGCCATTCCCCCTCGATCGTCGTCAGGGAGCTCAGAGCGGGGAGGAGAGGAGCCGTGTCCTCTGGTGCGCGGCGCAAGAGGCGTGTCTGGTGCACGGCGTACGACTCAGGTCGTGTGTGGAGCCACGAGCAGGGTAAACTAAATCGATGATGGAAAACATTGACAACGTTTTCCATCGTCGATTTTAATCGACTACATTGATTATTGTTGCAGCTCGTCTTATAGGAAAACCATGACACATGATACAGACAACAAAAAACCTGACAGACGTAACCCCTCACCATAAAAGTAAAAAAAAAAAAAAATAAGGAAGGTGGTCACTACTTTACCCTACTGAACATTCAGCTAAAAAAACAAAGTAAGTGCAATCCAGTAACCTGGCTAATAGCTGGACAGATTACATTGACAGCTTGGTGTTCCTGCACCGATGCTTGATGCACCTGGCCGCAGCCTCCAAGACTCTGAGCTATTTGAAGACAGAACTGGAGTTGAGAACAGAAGTTCCACTTTAAAAGAAACCTGTACAGAGAGACGCCTACAGGGGCTGTCATAGCTGACCTCTCAAGAATACAAGTTTGCGGTTGGCCTTTGGTTTTAGTACGTTTAAGTCATCGAGCAGACATGAAGGTTAGAATGAAGGTGGCGTCAAATCTCATGAACTGCATACACAGTAATTGCCTCAAAGTAAAAAAGTAATTGGAAATTAATTTCAAACAGTGCCTTCAGACTGATAGGTCAGCATTGGCAACCTCCACACCTCACTTTCTTTGCTTTAAGACAGTGCAGCAAAGGGACAGACCAGAGATCCAGCTATGCTGGCAGTGTAACATTTAGAGGCCATTCACACTTCACATGTGTGGTGCTATGCAAGAACATGCATGTTGCTGCAACACACTAAATGTGCCAACATTTTGTGGTGCCATTTGTAACTGCACCCAAAAACACTTACACTGCAGTGCATGATAACAGACTACAGTGCCAAGTCAGACGTGTCTATTCTGGGGCACTGCATTAATGTGTGCCGTCACGTGTTAACATGCATTGCATTGAAGAGGAACTTTACCCAGATCTTTAAAATAACAAACACACCTTTAGAAATGTTTAGTAATGACAATCTACAAACACATACTTCTAATTGCCAGCTTTTTATCCTTGCATACCTTATTTATCTTTTCTTGCTTATTCTTCTCACAGTGGCCATTTTCACTAACGGCAGATCAATATATCTCCCTTTACTTCCTGGAACTCTGGCACTAGGACATGTGACCATACACTTCTCAGGGAAGGAAAATGTGGTGAAAACTCATGAGATTACAGAATAGACCTCCCAGCAAAACATTGCTGATGTAACCTTACCAGGATGCACTGCTTTGGCACATCACATCATCTGTGCCAAAGAGAACCAGGAAGTGGAAGAACTCTATTTGTAAGTAAACGAAAAACAGGTTTGTTTAACTAATGAATGCAAGATTATTTTATAGCTGCATGCTGATGTGAAAGGGGCTAAAGGTCCACTGTAAGGCAGCCCATTCAAATGAGTGTCAAATATTACTTACCCATGTTAACTTTTAGGTCATCCCTGGGATCACAATGTAACTTTCTAATGTCTGCAAAGTGAAAAAAATAAATAAATAAAAACCGGGCAAATACAATTGATATACCAAAAAAAGCATATTCAGTACAATAAGATGGATTAGCTGGTACAATGACAGAGGTTTAATGTTGATTATTGTAAAAGTAGTGAACTTGAGGGCCAAAATATGCATGCATTATACAATCTAGGGGGAGATCAACTGGGTGAATCAACGATCAAGAATAATCTGGGCCTACTGGAAGATACAGTGGTTTGCAAAGTATTACCACCTGGAATTAAAATGTATTTTTTGGGGGGTTTGTATCATTTGATTTACACAACAGGCCTACCACTTTGAAGATGCAAAATGTGTTTTATGGTCATATAAACAACAAAAAACAAAACAAAATGTGAGAGTGCATAACGATTCACCCCCCTCCCCAAAGTCAATACCTTGTAGAGCCAAGCTTTTGCACCAGTTACAGCTGCAAGCTTCTTGGAGAAACATTTCCTATACAATGTTTTATTACCTGCGCTACAAAGAATGTTGTTTATTCAATTCAATGTAATGCATGTCAAGTTCAATACGTGGGGTGTACCACACGGCACCTCTGAACCAGGATTGGTGAGCACTATTGTGATAGTATTAATCCAAAAGCACTCTACGTTTCAAATGTGTCTTGTCATTTTAGAGACATGCATAGAGGAGACATGCGTTGTCTTTTTATGGATTGAAAGAGTGCTACCCATTCCTAGAGGAGGGGATGTCTACAGAAAACAGCTACAACGTGAGGCCCTGTAGATCTTCAAGTTGAACACTCGGATATCACAGGGTCTCAACCATCGGTGGCACATTAGTTTAAATCTTAGATAATGTATTGTTGTCAGAGTACCCTGATGGTGATATTTTACGGTCTTATGGGCGCCTTTTACTTTATATTGTAACTACAATTAAATAGATCTGCTCTATGGCACCACTAGAAATATTTTCTCTTAATATTTATTAAATGCGTTTCACAAGACGTTGCTGGATGCCTTAGCCTGAGGCATGTGTTTTTCAAATTGTTAGGTCTAGAACACAATGCCTCAAAGATATGATTGGGAAGCACTCCCTCTTCAGTA